TTGATGTTTATCAAGGTTTCATGTCCAATATACCAAGTCTGAACAAATTCCATCCATACACAACTAAGAGCTGGTTCCGGAATGGAAGAAATGGTTTATTTTGACGATTTTTCAACAATAAAATAGCCACCATTTGGTCATTTTTCGTTTACTGACTAACTGACTCACTTGTTAGTATTTTTTTAAGACATTTGTGGTTTAATAAGGTTTCTTGTAATCAACAGTGTATTCATTGCATGTCACCCTGTATGTTGCATGCCCTCTATCTACCCTTGAAGTTGTACATTACTCACCTTGTATGGAGTGGTCGCAGTCCTCCATTTGGCAAAATTAGTTGGTGAATGTCCTTTTTGCCATACATGATATCTAAAAGTGTACAAACTTCCCATATCCAACATTGTGAGCAGCTCTGCCTTAGATTTAGGAAATGTCAAGCGATATCGCAAGGTTTCAAAGGCAGGAACAATCAAGGCCTGTAGACGGGAATAAAAAATAAACATATTGATTTTGTTATTATTGACTCAGGCCATACCAACAGGAAGGCCATACACTAAAGATTTCCATTTATTTTTGATTCGGGAAAACCCTCAAACAGAAACTTGTATCCACCATTCTTGCTGATTTTTTTTAAAAAAAATATGGAGAAAACTGTGTAAGCTTGTTTTGTGAAAGGGAAAAAAAATGACAATTACAATTGTGATAGAAAAAATAAATATAACAAATCATTGAAATGACAGTCCAGGGATTTTTTTAAACAAGGGAACTGGGGGGCGCAGTGCCCTCATGCTATGGCCATGCACCCCCTTACCCAGGGGAGCAGATCTCCTGGCTACCATAAAATTCTGATTGACCAGGGATCACATGTGGCCACACAGTCTTCAACTGTGACCTGTCTGATAGTAATTTAGGCCCCAAGGAAGCCTTAGAATGCTCCATTTAACTTAGAATTAGAAGTGCTCCCTCTTGCAGTTTTTTTCTAGAAAAAACCCCGACAGTCCATGTGATATCTATCAATAACTCAATGTCAATACCAATACTGAATGAAATCACTCCAGGAATGTTGATGAAATGTTCATGTTTGAATAAATTGGCCACCAGTTGGACAAAGTTCGACAGAATGATAAACAAGCATGTGTCTCCCAATACGACTTGTCTTTGTATCAACTTAAAACAAAATTGGTCAAGGCATCCATGGCTTAAAAAAAATTGGAACTGATGGAACCCCAAAAACATACATTATGTAACAACTGACAACCTCCCACAGGGACTAATAACTTACTTTATTGGCTTTAGACATGTCCATCATACCAATAGCTTTTTTAAGATATTCATATAGACCATACATAGGTAGAAAATCAATGTCAGATAGATACACATATGGAGTGTTCACTTGTTTCATTGCTACATTACGAAGGAAATTAACAGGATAAAATTGCTGAAATGAATCAAGAAAAGAAACATTGTTTTATATTATGAAATTTTGAATAAATGTACACCATTGTAAATCCTACAGTAAAGTCATAAATTATTCGTTGTATTTTAATTTCACTGATTTGCTAAATAAAATCCATGTGAATAAGGCAAATTACAATAGAAGACATCATTTCAATGGAAAACCTAATAAATATGCAATCAAAATATTGAAATTTAATACCAGTGAAAAATGTATGTGTCTCTTAGAGTTCCCCGAAGCTGAATATCAAAGCATGGGATTTGCATAATTCAAATATCTACTAGTAATTTGCATATTATTTTTTACTTTATTTCGTTAAAATTCAACACATCATTTGCATGGCAAAGCATGGCAAAATCACTGTGTTTGAAAAGCCTAGAGAGAACACTGCGTGTGACATAACTGTATATGCATGGCTTCCACTAGGGTATCAGTATCTATCCTTATTAGGATGAATTATCTTAATTTCCAAGATGGCTGACATACATGTAATTGAATGCACAGTGAAGTTCCATCTCCATCAGACAAAATGCAGACATAGTGACCTCCACTATGCTAAACTTTCATATACCTTGTGTTTCTTTCAAATAACCTCATACAGTCTGTGATACTTTGTTGTGGTTTTGCATACTTTTGAAAGCGTTAAGGGCAAATCTGTATGATTGCTTGTAGGAATAACTTACCCCATCTTTGTATACAATATGATAACCAACATTTTTTCTTTTCATAAGAATATCAGAACTAAGAGCATATCTGAGAAACTGTTGCACTTCGGCATCAGACATATAAAGAGCAAAACTAATAGGACCTGTGTGGAAATAGAGAAACTGAATGTAAATATATGATAACACCAGACGATCACATCAGTTAGTGAGTGAATCTCAGCCAGAGGCTTTTTCCTGCCTATGAAGTATGCGGCTCACTCATTCATGATACAGATCAACTCCTTTTGGTCTTCAACCCCAGGTACATGTATGTTTTGTACTCAGGACAGTATGGTTGCTACCGTGACCAGTCTGTTCAGTTGAAACAGAGTTTATTACAAAAGTGACGTGTTGATACATACCTAGCCAATGGTTACATATAGATTCTATCATCTGTAACCGATCCATAGACAACTGTGCCACTAATGTCACGTCAGTGCCATCAAGATCCTGTAGATAAACAATTTTGAAATGAATAATTTCACCCACAATGAAAACTTCAGATTTTAGAGAAATATCCGATTTAATATTAGTTGTTAATTTTGGAATTAATAAACATAAATCTTGTATTGTCTACTGGTCTTTATAAATATTATTGACAAAATATTGAAAACATTATTCAGGTTTTTATAATCTGCATATATTAACATAATAAAAAATGATGTCAATAGCTAATTGACCTAACCCTACAAATGCCACAATTTTGCAAAAAAGTTTGGTGAAAATCCTTACATACCCTTTATTAAAAGTGCATCTCCAACACACATACATCCCAAAATGCATTAATTAATAGC